ACACCGACAGCTTTCCATGGGACCTGCCCGGCCTGCGATGGGATCCCAGCTCTGCACTCACTCTGTGTATTCTTCAACATGCAGAACACGTCTCTGAGCCTCAGCTTTCTCATCTGTGAAATGGGGTGAATAATGGGATCTGCCTTTCAGGAAGCCCTTGGCAGTATCTGGCACGGGGGGCACGGGGGGCGGGGGCAGGGGGCGATAACCCAGCAGCAGCAGCAGCCACAAACTATTATAATTACTCTTGCCTTTGTTGTTATTAGTCCTAGAAGGGCATCTGTGGGGCTGCAAAATCACCCGCATGAACTGGAGAAGGCTTCGCACACACATTCCAACAAACCAGACCTCCCAGGAGCCCACAGAAGCGCTGCCAGCTTCCTTAGAGGTTATCCGGGGGCCCTGAACCAAAAACACACTGTCCCTGCTCAGTGACATGCCCCGTGTGGCCCAAGAACCCACTCGCTTGCCTGGCCCAGAAGCAGAAACCAGCAACTTCTGCAAAGTTCTGAGTCACTGGGATTTCCCAGCTGGGGAGCTTCAGGGGCTGGGGAGATGCCACCTCGCTTCCTGGCAGAGTTAAAGGGGCTGGGGGTAGCGGTGACAGCCAGCTTCTGAGCACTGACCTCTCGCTCTGCCTTCCCCAGGGAACCCAGCAGGGTGTGCCCCCAAGTCAACGTCCTCACTGCTGCTCTCAAAGACTCTTCCCCCAAGCCCCAAGAAGAAAGAGGAGAAAGGAAAGGCTTATGGGGAGAGCAGGCACCTACTTGGGTCTCGCCGTCTTTATCGACCAGGATGCCCATGGTGCTCGCGTGCAACCTCAGCACGAGACTGTGACAACCATTTCAGCTCCGGGGTGCGGGTCGAGCATACAAGGTGGGAATTCAGAGGGCCCTGGCCAGCCCTGCATCTGTGAGGCCAGCTCCGGAGGGGCAACCCTTCTGGCTGATAGCAGAGAAGCCACCAGCCTTTCCTAACCAGTCTCTAATCAGATTGAGGGGATGTGCAGGGGAACTCTGCCGAAAGTCCCCCAGGGAGGTCAGGTGGGGACCAAAAGGAGGCGGTTGCTAGGAAAAGCCCGAGCTGTTGCTGGCAGAGACCATGTCGCTAGGCGACTAGCTGCCTTTTTCCAGGGCCCTCACGTCATCAGTAACCCCTGTGCCTCCAAGGCTGGTCCAGGGCAGACTTCCCCAGCCTGCCACAGCTCAGCAGTGCCTGCCTCGGCCTCCACACTCTGGCCCTGGGATTGTTCACCCTCCCACCAGCGCTTGATCTTAGCAGAGAACAGCGACCCTGGAGCATCCTGAACTAAAAACCCAGACAGAGATCTTAGACTGTACGCCACAAACACTCTCTGAAGTTCTCTTAAAACCCAACAGTAGCTGAGATTAGTAAAGATTGTCTGCCTTGAGCCTCTTGCTCTTTGAAGGTCTCTTTTAAAGACAACCATAACTTGAAAGATTAAAGAGGAAACTTAGAGGGTGGTGAGTTTATGTCAATGGAGAAAGAACAGTTCTAACAAGAAGAATGTAACCAGCATCAGTGAATTAGAGAAAAGACTGTATTGTATTGGTGTATGTGATCCTGTATGTTCACCACCAACAACAATGAAAATAAACTATAAAAACAACATTCCTTTTTTAAACCTCTGGGGGAGTTTTTGTGTGAGTGCGCCTGCCTGCTGTGTATGTGCTTGTGTGAGTGTGTGCACAAGAACGTAGTATGGATATATGCAAATCTGTCCTTATATACACAGGGAGCTCTGGTGGCCTAGTGATAAGAAACTGCACTGCAATTCTGAAGGTACCAAGTTCAAATCCACCAACAGCTCCATGGGACAAAGATGGGTAATCTCCTCCTGCTGGCCAGCTAAGGGTCAATTCCAACCTGATGGTACACAACAACAATAAACAGCAATGTATATGCATGGGCATACATGCATGAGTGTACCTAAGCGTGTGTGCATGCGTGTGTGTGAACATGTGTGTAAATGTAATACATGTCTATGAATGTGTATGTGCAGGATGTGTGTGGGTGTGCACAGCTGGGTGCGTGTCTGTGCCTGAGTCCTGGTGTATCGGTATAAAGTGCAAAAATATGTGTGTGTACCAACGTGCATGGCTAGTGCATGTGTACACACATGAACATATGTTAGTACTGACCCTCAATGACAGATAAAAACCTTTGATGTGAGGTGCACAGGGACTCAGGGCTAAACGTTCTACATAGAGGTAGTAGGAAGCTGAGGAAAAATAAGGTGCACTAATTCCTCTCCAAGGTACTAAGGAGAAACAATGTCAGTCTGGAGACTAAGGTGCACCTGATACAGGCCATGGTCTTTGCTATTACTTGCTATGCATGAGAAAGCTGGACAATGACTAGGGATGATAAAAGGAGAGTTGATGTCTTTGAGCTGTGGTGCTAGAGAAGAGTATTGAGGACTGCTAGGAGAACAAACAATTTCGTCCTGGAGAGAGTGAAGCCAGGCTGCTCCTTAGAGGCAAGGATTCTGAAACTTCGTCTGACATACTTTGGAGATGTTGCAAGGAAGGACCAGTCCTTGGAGAGGAACATCATGCTTGGGAAGGTGAAGGGACAGCACAGGAGAGGAAGACCCTCTATGAGGTGGATTGATTCAGTGACTGGGGTAATAGGGGTAGGTGTGTTGGAGACGGTGAGATTGGCGCAGGACAGAGCAGAGTTTAGGGCTGTTGTACATAGGGTCGCTATGAGTCACAGGCGACTCGACAGCACATCACAACAAACAACAATAGCTGGGCTCTATGAAGAAAAATACAGCATCAGGATGAGAGGAAGACTCATTAATAATTTCAGTTATGCAGACAACACAACCTTGCTTGCTGCAAGTGGGGAGGAATTGAAGCACTTGCTGCGGAAGGTTAACACTGCAGCCTTCAATAAGGATTGCATCTCAGCATCAAGAAAACAAAAATTCTCTCCAATGAGCCAACAGGCAACAACAAACACTAATGGAGGACAGATGTAGTACAGGAGACCAGAGTGGGCAGAGTGGCGGGGACTTAGAACAACGTGAGAACGTGGGGCAAGGGGACAGATGGCCTCATCTGTGATTACAGCCTCCTTCCCACTTCGTCTCCTTCTGCTTCACTCTCCTCAGTGCTGCTGTTTCCCATCTCACAGATCTTCAAAGCTCCTCGTTACACCCAAAATCAAGTTCAAGGATTTTACCAGCTCCTCCCACTGCTTCTCCTATCCTCTCCATCAGCCAATCAGTCACTGTTCCTTGTCCCAACAAGTCACTCCCTTGTCCTGGAAACACTCTCTACCTTGGCTCCAGGACCCCTCACTCTCCTCACCTTCCCCTCAATTGCCCAGCAGTTCCTCCTCTATCCTCAAAGACCGATCTCTAAATTGACCTTGGCCTCTCCCCCACCCCCACTCCCTCCTTCCTGCATCTCCTGCAGCCCTTGTACAGGACCAGACATCATCTGAATTTATGTTTCATTCCCCCTCCTCACTGTGTTAACTCCAGGCTCATAAGCAAATTCAGTTTCCATCTCCATGTCTGTCCTCTGATCCATCTGTCGTCTGTCCATCCACATTACTCATCCCCACTTAGCGATTTCTGATCTCCACGTCTAGCCTTTATGTTGATGAAACAATTTTGCTTGTTTTAATACTGAAATCCTCCTAGGTGTGGGTGAAGTAGGTTTAGGGAACCCAAGAGTCCGTGGGTGGTGGAAATGGTCAACGCCCTCAGCTGCTAATCAGAACATTAAGAAATTCTAATCCAACCGGAAGTTCATCAGAAGAGAGCCCTGACCATCGACTAAAAAAAATAATCAGCCTTTGAAAACCCAGGGGAACCCTGTTCCACCCTGTAACATGTGGAGTCTCTCTCAGCTGGAGTCAACTCGACAACATTGGATTTGACTTTGTGTTTTAAGTCCTACCCATGGGACCTACAGCCTTAGTTATAATAACAAAGAACAGGGAGTCTACCGCAAATGACCACTCCTCCAGCCATCCTGTTAGGATCAGAACCATAAACAGAGGCAAAAGTGTATGCTTTAAAAATTAAACTACGAGAACCGGAAAGCCAATATTGACAGGCAGAGAATTGGTGCTTTGCGCATATGAATGATGTCAAAAGTAGTGGGCACTATGGACACATGAATGACATCAGAGAACAGGGACCAGAATGAGAACCACCCACTAAGCTGTGAACTCTCCTGGACCTCGTCTCATTGGCCCAGACCCCAGCCCTGAGCCCCATCCCCCAGAGAAAGAGGCCATAGATAGAGCCTCACCAAGGAGCCCTCGCTGCTCCTCCCTGGTTCCTGTCAAGCAGAGAGGCCCTTCCTTTTAGAGAGAGAACTTCCTAATCTATCTTTACTGTTTTACCCTCACTTCTGCCTCGTCTTTTTTATTTCTCGTCCCTGACCTGTAATAAAAAGCTTCAGCCTACACGTGAACTCTCCACGCACTAAAGTCTGCTCTCCCAAGAAACGCTAATATTGCTGGACGCTGTACCTCCTGGTGCTTGGGCCCCGTCCCCTCCACTAGTCTCTTCCCCCTGGCACAGTTCTTTTGCCTGTGCGAGATGAGTAAACGAGGGCACGGACTGCATGCGTTTAACAATCTAGTCAGTCAACAATCACTTATTTGGTGTTGACCACGCACTAGGGCTGGTGGGACGTGGCAGTAAACCCAGCAAAAATCTCACGTGCACCTCATGGAGTTTGCCTCTATGTGGAGAGGAAGGAGTGGTGGGTGACATTTTTTTTTTCCATAACTGGGTCATTTTAAGTCCTGGTTCATTTTAAGTGCCAATGAGGGGTCCCCCAGCTTTCCCCAGCCTCTTTGGGTCAGTGCTCAGTAGCACACAGCACAGAGCAAAGGACAGGGGACCCACCCTCGAGTGGCAGAATGCATCCCCAGCCTCTCACCAGCACCCCAACTCCCTGGGGCATCCCGCAGCCAGGCAGAGCCAAAGTCAGTGAGTGGACAAGTCTTACTCGAGCTCTTCTTCTTCCTCCTCATCTTCCTCTTCCTCTTCCTCTTCTTTCTCCTCTTGAATCTGAGGCAGCCTCCTAAGATGAGGTCACAGGCAGGAGGTAAGTCATTGGGGTCGCTGCCACCCAGATATCCTATTGCCCCAAGAGGGCTCTCCCCACCTGGGTTCCCCTAGACCTAAAACCCCGAGCTGGCTCTTAACAATGAGACTTCGTCACTGCCCTAGCTCCCTCTGTCCTGAGGGTGACTCGAGGCCAGCCTGTGAACCCCTCTGGGCCTCAGTTTCCCCATCTCTGCAATGTGGGCCTGGGGTTTGTCTGGTCCTTCTCAGCTTGAGCAGTTATCATGAAACACTGCTGGTGGGAGTGAAAATCTTTACAGCCCTACAGAGGGCAATGTGACCATCATGTTCACAATCACATATTCCCACCCCAGGACCCAGAAATCCCACTGGGGACTTGTCCTGCAGCTGTACTCAAGTTCAAGTGCAAACACATGTGCACAGCAAGGCTTGCTACAGAATCCCTTTCTTGCAGCAAAACTCTGGAATCCACTGAACTGTCCTTCCATAGTGGACACATTATGGTCCTTCTATCTGATGGAGTACTTTGCAGTCATAGGGGTGAAATTGGGGTGAAATCTATGTGCTGGTTGTGGCAAAACCGCATGGTACATTGTTAAGTGAAAACATCAAGGTGCCAGGGCAGTGCCTAAGGGACCCTAGCTTTGTGGAAGAAACAAGGAGACCCCATCCTTGGTAAACACAGATGTGTTAGAGACAAATTCCTACCACCAGAGAGCACAGCAGAGGCTCCCAGGACTGGGGAGGGGAAAGGTCAGAGGTGCTGCTAAGCTCAGGAAAAAGTTTTAGACCTGAACTATGGTGGTGCTGCTTGTACAATGGAGAATGTCATTCACGCCACTAAATTTCACACATACAAGTCGTTCTATTTTTTTTTTTATGTTAAAATGTAGAATTTAACTTAAAGAAGAGGAGACCCTTGCTTACACATAAAAGACCAAGTCTGGACAGCATGGTTCACCTTCTGTGCCCTTTTATGCCTTTGGGATTTCTTTGTGCCTGTTGTCATCTCAAACAGTAACTAGTTTGGGCCCAGGGTCTTCCGGGCTCCCTACCTGGGGATCTCCTCCATGACTCCCCACTCTTCTATGTCCTCCACCTCCAGGCTCTGCTGGCTGGCGCTGTTAGCGGCAAGTCTGTCCTCTCCAAGCTCCGCCTCCTCCCGGTGAGGGTCCACCTCCTCCAGGACGAGCTCCTGCTCCTCCTGCTCCCGCTCCTCCGGCTGGGGCTCCTCCTCCTCGGACTCATTCTCCCCCGGCTCCCGCTCCGGCTCCTCCCGCTCCGGCTCCTCGGGCTCATTCTCCTGGGGCTCCTGCTCCTGGGGCTCAGGCTCCTCCACCAGCACCAGCTCCTGCTGCTCGGGCTCCTGCTTCTCAGGCTCCTCCACCAGCACCAGCTCCTGCTGCTCGG